GACAATATTTAACACACAAAACAAAAATAATCAGTAAATTATCATATAGATAGGGACTTGGAGTAGAACCGCTGCTCCTCCGGATCGAAAGGAGCCAGTTGAGGTGGTTTGGGCATCTGGTCAGGATGCCTCCTGGACGCCTCCCTGGAGAGGTGTTTCGGGCATGTCCTGCCGGCAAGAGGCCCCCGGGTCAACCCAGGACACATTGGAGAGGTTACATCTCCAATCTGGTCCGGGAACGCCTTGGGGTCCTGCCGGAGGAGCTGGTGGAGGTGGCCGGGGAGAGGACGGTCTGGAGCTCCCTAGTTGGGATGCTGCCCCCGCGACCCGGACCCGGATAAGCGGAGGAAGACGACGACAACAACATGTGTATCTGCTAGTGTTGAAGGTGTTTTAGAGAACAATAGGTACGCATGACCACTTCCTTCATAGCACCCTCAATAAAAAGACTAGCTCCTTCATAGCACCTGCAGAAAAAAGTTTCTGGAGCCGCCACTGAAAGTAACTTATTTTACTGGATCACTCTACACAATTGTGTGATTTTAATCTGAACTGACCATTAGTCTTGTGTTATTTTATTTAGAAAAAGGAGAGTTAAGAGAAATATTGGGAAAAACTTTCTTTGTCAACAAAAATCAACAAAACTGTTCTATATCCAAAGGGTTTCGAATGAAGCCAAATGGACTTCTTTGGTTCTTTGAAGACGTTTCTCATCCGAGGAGCTGTGCCAATTCTGACTGGAAAATGGGACGGTCAAATGTATAAACTGTAACTGTTGTTGTTGGTAGCTGAATCTACCTATAAATACCTTTCCTCCCTTTCCCCCATAGAGTCGTTGAAGTCATTAGGCTCCATTGTGTGGGGATGATGATTTTGATGAGATGCAGGAGGGTTTGGCCTAGACGGAAACTGTTTTGGAATTAGGTTCAGAGCTGCATTGCAGGTGCTGGAGAGGTGAAACCTAAAGTCTCCTCCTCTGTTTACTGTAGATTTTTCCTGCTTCACATAGCTAGCTTCCTTTCCAAGCACAATGACAAGTTTTACGGACAGAAACATGGATGTGCCATGGGCTCCCCAGCATTGCCAGCATCTACATAGGAAGTAGAAACCAGAGCATTGAACTTCTACAATGGAACAAAAGACACTCACTGTATGTGGATGACATGAGTCAAAATTCTCACGCAGGACATGAAAGGCTCCACGAGGCACACTAACGCTGTGCTAAAGCCAAAGTTTATAAGCTTCAACCTCCCACTTTCCAGTCAGAATTGACAAAGCTCCTCAGATGAGAAACGTCTTAAAGAAACCAAAGAAGTCCACTCGCCTTCATTTGAACCCTTTTGGATTACCATGACCTAGATGACTGAGAACCTTCTCCAGCATGTTCTATGCTGTTTTTGAAAACTTCGAACTGTGATGTCGTCATATAGAGATAACAAAATCTGTAGGATGGATGAGCGCAGGAAAATGTTTTCTTAGGTTCAAAACTATTAAATATCCAAAACAAAACATGCAGATGTTATTGGTGCTTAAAATCATTGAATATTCTTGAATTGCGTAATACACTGCTTGAAGCACTTACTGAAATTGGTTATAGCACAATAATTAATTGAATTTATGTTTGTGATATAAAGAGGTTTGAAAAAATGAGTGAATGATAGCTTTATTAATGTTTATTTTGACGCTTAACCAATGAACAGTGATTCTGTAACTTTTTTGCCTCCCAACAAAGCCATCATAGCTATGACTAGGGATGGGTACCTTTGACATTTGAATCGATTCGGTACTAATTCCCGGTACCTAGGAATCGATACCGGTACATAACGGTACCAATTTTCGATACTTTTGAGTGTTTATTATTTTAATTCTCTTTTATAATTAAATATATATTTTTCTCAATATATAACCATATTTGAAAAATATCACGATAAATAACATTCAACTGTTTGTATTTTAACATCGTCCTTGTAGTTTTATAAGCTGCTAATTAAACTGAAGCAAACATCTTTACTGTGAACTAAATTTACTGTGTATCTTCATTCCTTTTGCCTCCTTTTTCTATGATTTTTCCTACTGGGAAGTTAGAATTTCCGAGGAGAAAGCGAACGCACCATTAACCAATAACAACGGTGGAAATGGAAGCCAACATACCAAGCCAACGTTATCTTAAACAGTTTATTTAGCTGCTGGAGCAGATTAAAACGATGATGCCTCACACTTAGATCGTTGTCACTGGTTTCATCTTCACCCAATCACCCGTGGCATTTAGTAAAGTGAAGCCAAACTTTAGAGCGCGTTCATGTTCTTCTAGTCAGGAATTCGGAGTTCCGAGGAGAAAGCAAACGCACCATTAGCGAAACGGAAGCTAACATATCAAGCTAACGTTATCTTAAACATTTTATTTACCTACTGGAGAAGAATAAGATGAGGATGTCTCACTTAGTTTGTTGTCGCTGGTTTCATCATAACCCAGTTACCCATCACATTTAGTGAATTGGACCCAAGCTTTAGCGTGCGTTCTTTCTACCATGCTGCTCTGTTTACAACTGGCTCGCAGCGAGCGATGACATAACGCTCTTGCGCATGCGCAGCTGTCTTGGCAAGTTCTCATTATGAAGGACGGATACCGAAACGAGGGGCCATTTGAAATGACGTGAATCGGTGCTCGGTCGGTACTATGGAATTCGGTCGATACCTTAAAAAGTACCAAATTCGGTACCCATCCCTAGCTATGACAGATATTATGTTTGTCTTCTTCAGAAAGGTCAGAAAACCAACAGGGACTTTTGTTTTGCTGCTCTGCGCCTGACTGCTGTTCTGCCAGCAAACCTTTCAATGTTTTCTGCTTGTGTGCAGGAAGTGCCAGAAGTATTGTAGGAAAACACACAATTCAATCCCACCGAGAGAAAACATACTGAAGTGCAAAGACACCCTGTGATCCCTGCACTGTTGTTCTGTTCCAGTCAGTTAAATTGGGGATTTGGTCCAGGCTCTTGTCTTTCTTACTGAGATGTGGTAAAAATAGCACCGTGACAAGTGTCGGAAAGCTTTGTCGGGCTCAGACTGTGCGTTCTCTGTCAGGACAAAGCCGTTTGGCACAGGGTGCCATGCTTAGGGCATAAAGAACTTAAATGGAAACATGAAAATGTCATTGTGGGGAGCGTTGAAAGCATGTTCCTTTTTAGTGCACCTGTTGCAGAAGAAAGTTTTGCCTTAAGACTACATCTTTGTACCGGCACGCCTGAATGCTTGTCACACCATTTTTAAAACACGATTTGCTGCAAGCCACTTAGAAACAGGCAGAATTACAGCTTTAAAGAAACCTCCTAGAGTTTCTCTCTAATGAAGACTAATGCAGGAATGAAGAAGAGGTTGTTAGATAATCAGATTTTCTGCTTGCTTCTTCTGCTGCTGAGAGATGAATCACAGTGGCAAGATGACCATCAACCAGTTCTGCCTTTTCCGGGAGTCACTGAATATCCTTTTCTAATACATATTCTTTGTCCCCTTCCTCACATATTTTTATCACGATTTAGACTTTTTCCAGTTTTTTAATAATGTTTTATCATTTTTTAAAACTTTTCATTTTTGTTCTTGTGAAGCGCCTAGTTATTTTTATCTTGAGAAACGCCATATAAAAGATTGTTTCATCTATGTCTACTTCAAAAATACAGGAATGATCAAAAGTTTAAAACCACCCTAACCCTAACGCAGGAAACAGTAAAGAACATCTCCAGACACCACTGCAAATGCATTTATTGAACAAGCGTACAAACCGTAGAAGTTGTAAACGATTTAGCTGTGCAGGTGGATCTAGCCACACACCACTGTACCCTCAGCAGGTGGCCAATCACAGCCTTTGTAGAGAGACATTGAGCTTGGCACCAGAGCTGTGATGACACAAAACTACAAAGCTGGTGTCGGCTCAGGATTGGCCACTCTGAATTTTTCATGCAGGCTAAACATGAGAACGGTCTCCTACACCTACCTCCTGCATTAGCCACCAATAAAAAACAGACGGTGAAAAGCTCTGATTAGAAAGCTAGTCATCTGCACAAAGGCATTGAAAGAGTTGTGTTGCTGCTGTTAGCTATAGAGGTCAGATGTCTGAACGTCATGTCTCCACATCCTGCCGTTTTCTGCTCCCCTCTGCTCTGGCTAACTTCTACTTCCTGAAACAGGAGCACCAGAGCCTTTTTCTTACAGAGAATGACTCACAAGGCATTTATTTATACCCAAAATCACTGGACAAACAAACATCAGTAGCATAACTCTGTCAGTTTTCACATGCACATCAACAAACTTTGACCTTCCTTCATTCCCAATGCTGCAGCAGTCCTCTTCTATGGTATTTTCACTTCCCAGACTGACTAGTCTCTGTTTCATGGTCTCCCTGTGGAGGGATTTTAATCCACAGACTCCAGTTTTGGCCTACGTTATTACTCTCAATACATGAAACACTTCAGCTCAGTTCTTCTTCTTCTTCTTCTTCTTCTTCTTCTTCTTCTTCTTCTTCTTCTTCTTCTTCTTCTTCTTCTAGATACCTATAAGTAGGGGACATACATTATCGATCAATCTGCTGTGCTAATACGAAAAATGAACTTTTACTCTATTTAGGTTTATTGAACAAAGTGGTTTTTCAGTCACTTTTATAGAAAATATTTTTACTTTTGTCAATGAATTATAAAATCATGACAAAGGCCTCAGTCATACAATCTAATTATCATGCTAATTAGTCATAAAATAATGCCTTAAAATGTAGAAAATAAAACACACATAGACCAAGTAATAATAATAATAATTATTATTATTATTATTGTTGTTGTTGTTTTTGTTATTATAATTATAATAATTACAATTATTATTATTATTATTATTATTATTATTATTATGTTCATTCAAGTTTCTAAAATTGTTTCTGTGTATTCTATGTAATCTTAGGCAACAGCTCTATCAAATTTAATTTAAGTCTGCATCACTAATGAAAAGGACGAGAGCTTTTGCGTAATAGAAAATAGTTTGGCCAATTAGCACTGTAATGAAATACTCATGTGAATGGACTGCCTGCAGGGTGACAAACAGATGACAAAATTACAAATGCATTTCTTCTCTCACATCCTGGTGTGATGGATGGGGTCAGTCCCGGCCACGACTCTGGTGCTGTGACCTTTGTGTGGACCGGAGCTTCATAATGTTTGCAGAAAACGAAAGAAGGAGTGATCCTGATCACCGATTGGCTGACAAGGCTCAGCAACTGACAGCCCAACAGCCGTAGATATCACACACCTGTCAGACTCTGTCTCTGAAAACAGCTCTGGGGATGGGCCGGCTACCAATTAAACTCTGAAACTCATTGGCCCACGGTCATCAATGTCTTTCTTATTATTAACGCGGAGATTAAATAAAAATACACAAGTTTTATTACTGGATACTGAAAAAGCATCAAATCAAACTGAAAAATCCTCCAAATATAATATCTAATAAAAAAAAGAGCAAAATAAATCCTGAATTCATTACATCCTTCTTAATCAGCTGCTGAGTAGTGAAATCTCACCAGTTGTAACTGTCTTTCAACAGTTTATTTCACGGTTGTTTCAGAATCTTTAGGATTTGCCAACACGTTGATAAATCACACAAGTACTGTGAGTTTTAAAGTCTTGGCTCTTGAGTCAGCACTCCCACCCAGTTAGTATAAGAGGTGTTTGCATGGAGAACAAGGCTGAGACAAAGACTGAGCAGCTCTGGGACTGAGCGAGGGTGGGTTCACACTCCGGAAACGGGCTGATTTACAGGAGTAAGACGCTACAGCTGCTCCAGGTTTGATTCTGTTTCATATGTGGTATTCTTGAGGATTTTAAAATAGTTTTTCTTCTGTACAATATGTGTGTGTCGTAAAAGGAAACGTAAGCATTAACTTCATCCTGTGCAGTCGTCAAACACTGAGTTGCTGCTGGAGTTAGGTCCTCGAAGCTTTGTTGGATGTATTGTAGCAGATCTTATTTGTTGTAAGAGGATGGATGCATAATTTACATCACCTCGTGTCTGACTTCTTGTTTAGTCAGCTGGCAAAACCAGGCGATGCTGGAGCATTCTGATTATGCAATTTTTATTATGCAGTGTTGAGTGAGTTTTCTGGGCGATGGTCCTCAGCAGTTAGCAGGCTTGTTTTGCTTCCTCTTTCAGAAACCTCACAGACTTTCTAAAAACAAATTTCCTCTGTGCTCAAAATAAGTTTTTTGTTTACGATTTTATAACGAACAGTGAAAAAAAATGCTTGTGTTCTATTATTGGACTTATTTAGTGGAGATTTTCTATTATGTGCACATGCAATCAACTTTGTTATGAAATTGTTCTGAAACAGGATAATCAAAAATTTAAATCTGGAGCATTCTTATAAGGTTTAAAATCCTGTCTGTGATTGATTGTTTTAGTTTTCTGGGTTGGATTCATCAATAAACAAGCAGTAGGTAACAGGCTTGCTTGTGCTTCATTGAAGCATCAAATTGGCCTTTTTTGTGCATGTTGCTGCAAAATGATTCATCACATAAGGTAGGACAGGATGCTCAAAAAGTTGTATTTGTGCCCATTTTTAATCTGTTATATTCATCCTGGTTTTCCATTAGGAAAGCAAAGCTGATGAGATGCAGGTTTAGGCCTCTTATGTCTATTTTAGGAGAAGCAGCAACATATAAACAATCTTACTCACTGATTAGTCATTTTACTTTGTTTTCTGTCTCTAGGTTCCTTTTGGACCACAGTAAAGAGCATGCTATTGACAGGAAAGCACCCCTACAGAGGACCCAACTCAAGTCGGATTTTCACATAATTGCCCCTGGTTATGAAAATCTGCCCCCTAAGACTGAAACGGTTTGTATCAACACAGCTTTTATTTGAATTCAACTAAAAACGTCAAACATAGGACTTAAAGGGGACATATTACGTATTTTTACTGAAGTGCAAAACATGTTCATGAAGTTCTGTGCACAGAATCCCTCTCACATGAAGCAATTTCAGCAGTTTTATTCTTGATATTTTTAGTACCTTCCAGAATGAGTCATTATAGGGCTCACTTGCTTTAAGAAAACAAGTGGGAGATGGCCACTCACACCCAGCTCTGCTTTATTATGAGCTGAGAAGCGACGAAATCTGGGAGGGGCTCAGATTAGAGCTGCTGCTCCTCCAGCCTAGCGATGTGAGGTGGGGTTCTATACTGACGTCCCCACTTGTGACATCACAACCAGGGAATTTTTGAAAAGGCTCATTTTACTGACATATTTTCTAAAATCAAACACTGACAGAAAATGGATGTATGAGGTTTTTGTGTTTTTAAAGTGTTTATAAAATCAGTAGAGTCCCACATGGCAGCACAAAAAGATGCAAAAAAAGATTTTTGCGTAATGTCCCCTTTAATGTTTTGGATTGATTTCCTGTGTATTTATTGATATTTTATTTGAATAATAATGTTTTTGTCTTGTTTTCAGGCAGGGGGTAAGATGTTTGTGGAGTCAGTTGTCCGATGGGGGTTGTGGAGCATTCTGTTCCAGTTTGGACAGGGTGTATCTGCAGGAAGCTGTCCTCCACGCTGTGTGTGTCGACCTGAAGCGAAGGAAATTATCTGCTCTGGCAAAAATGTGAATTCTGTGCCAGAGGGCTTTTCCAGCGATGTGAGGCGTTTGGATTTATCACGCAATAGGATTAAAACTGTTGGACGCCGTCAGTTCTCTGGCCTCCTACAACTTCAAGAGTTGAATCTCAGTGATAATTCAATCTCCATGATTGAAGTAGAAGCATTTTTGGGCCTCAAGAATCTCAGGACACTTCTACTTAAGAATAATCGTTTGAAGATCCTCCCAGTTGGGGTATTTTCTGGGCTGTCTAGTCTGCGCTTTTTGGATTTGAGCCAGAATGAGATTCTGGTCTTCCTGGACTACACATTCAAGGAAATGTTCAACCTTCAAACACTGGAAGCTGAGGAGAATGACCTTGTCTTCATCTCCCAACGTGCATTCTTTGGTCTGCAGAACCTACAAGAACTATGCTTGGATCGTAGTAACCTGACCTCCATTCCCACTGAGGCACTGTCCCAACTCCAGAGCCTGACAAAGCTTCGCATGCTCCGCCTAACCATTTCTACACTGCCCAACAATGCTTTCCGAAGACTCCAACGTTTGCAGAGCCTTGTGATCTCAAACTGGCCAGCATTGGACACTATGGCTGGCAACAGTCTGATTGGTCTTAATTTGACCTCACTTGTTATTAGTAGTTGTAACTTAAGTGCAATTCCTTATGCAGCACTTCGTCATCTGGTCTATCTGCGCTTTCTAGACTTGTCGTACAACCCCATCACTGTTATCCAAGGTAACCTGCTCGGGGATCTCCTTAGACTCCAGGAGCTACACCTAGCGGGAGGAAGTCTGCTAAAAATAGAAGCAGGAGCATTCAGGGGGCTGTCCTTCTTTCGCATGCTCAATGTAACATCGAATCAACTCACCACTTTGGAGGAGAGTGCGTTCCACTCTTTGGGGAACCTTCAGGTGTTACGATTAGATGGGAATCCTCTCGCGTGTGACTGCCGACTTCTCTGGGTGGTCCGCCGCAGGTTGCGCTTGAACTTTGATGGACATCAGCCAACCTGTTCCTCCCCCAGTGCAGTGAGACAAAGGGAATTCAGGGACTTCTCAGAGAAGGAGCTCCCCAGAGTTTTTACCTGCCGTCCTGCTCGTATCATGGACCGCAGGCCTCAGGAGGCAAGAGTGGAAGAGGGTACCACTGTGCTTTTCTCCTGTAAGGCTGATGGGGATCCTATACCAGCCATTACCTGGATTTCTTCAACTAGGAATGTAATCAGCCCCACAGGACGAATTCGAGTTTTGCCCAACGGTACTCTAGAAGTTCGTTTTGCTCAAGTACAGGACAGCGGCGCATATCAGTGCCTAGCAGGCAACGCAGCTGGCAATGAGAGCTTGACCGTTGGTCTGTACGTGAAAGGTGTTTCACGAAACAGATCCATCCCCTTTTTCACAGAGGAGGGTTGGGTTGAGCCTTCAAATCCTCAGACTGCTAACTCCTCAGCTCAGATGGCCAAGCCTTTCCCATTTGATGCAAAGACCCTGATAATCGCCACCACCATGGGTTTCCTGTCTTTCCTCAGCTCGGTGGCCATCTGCTTTGTCTTCATGTTTTTCTGGAGCCAGAGCAAAGGCCAGATCAAGCACACTGCAACCATTGACTTTGTTCCTCGGTCTTCTGTGGGTGGCGGAGGAGAGGGAGGTGATGGTGGCAGGTTCACAATGAAGCTTATCTGAGGTGATGTAGAGGGCGGAGGATGTCTTAAAACTGGCTAAGAGACATTCTGCTCGTTGGATGTCCACTCAGAGACAAAGACCTGCCCTTGGAGAAGCCAAATCAGAGCTTTTTATTGAGTTTGTGCCAGGTCTCTTCTAGTTTTTTAATCCAAGGACATCACTGGCACCTCATGTTGGGTTTATATTAGTAAATAATACTTTACTATCTTTGACTATGAAAAACTATCAGATGGTGGATCTCTGGAGACTTTAATAAGCAAATACTTAAGTAGCACAAGTATTTATTTATTTTTATCACGCATGCAAACAATTCACTTTACAATAGTTAGAATGAGAAATGTATTGCATTAAAATGTAGAATTTACCAGATACTGTTTGGGTATTATACTAACTCTTCTTTTGTTTTTACTTAGTACAAGTAAAGTTATGCTTTACATCGTTGACTTTAAAATGTGAATATGTGTCTCTGAAGTGTTTGACATAAAGACTAGCCAAGTCATTTCTCACAATTTAACCAAACTTTTTGTTATTTCAGATATAAAGTTGCTGCATTATGATAAAAACATTGTTATTTAGAAGAATGCACATTAAGCATAACGTAAATGAGTGAGGAGCTGGCCATAATGTACATAGGAATGTATCCTTTTCTGTTACATATCTTAGACACGTTTTTAAGGTTGGTTTGTCCTTTTTGTTACATATAATATATCAGTGATCATTCTAGATGACTCTTTGCAATTACTTCATGTTTTTTACACAAATAATAAAGATTTTTTTAAAATTTTGTACCCACACCTGATAAATATGTGCCTCAGCAACATTCTCCCCATCGACAGACAGAATGCTCTCCTGATCAGTACTGTCTTGTAAACATTAACATCAGCGGCAGTCAACGTCCATTTTTTATTTAATCATTTTATGCAGTTCTTGGAATTGAGGTCGCTCTTTGGAAAATAACCAACCCCAAAAATAATAAAAAGTCTACTTACTTGTGTAGATGTACTTTTGCACCTTACAGCTTAATGGAATGGTTTAAAATGAAGAGAACACATATTGTTACACATTTATTTGCTGTAAATTCCTTCTTTTTTTTCAGTTAATAAATGCTGACCTGAACCTTCTTTGACTGCGTGGTGTGCCTGTATCATATGCTACATGTTGCATAATAGTATCAAATCAAAGGAAAACTAATATGTAATGTTCAAACTAATCCACCCTCAGAAATGCATCCATGGTGGGCAACAGAAACACATGGAGGAAATGTCAAGATAAAAGGCCCAGTTCCAACCTCTATCCTTGCGCCCCTCAATTGCACATTCTCATCCAGTGGTGCAAGTATGTAGGGTGTCCCAATTCTCAAGTGTGGACCTTGGCCCCACCCTTTGGCAATCTTTGGCCCAATCCCAATTCTCGCACTGTGCCCTACAGTCTTCTGTGAAGTACACTTGATGGAAGTCCGCAGTAAGGTTTTGAGTGTGCAGTACACAAATGTGCAAATAATTGCCTAACTGGAACAGTGAACATTGCGTCATCGACCACAACACATGCTGGGAGGCTGGTTGCTGTTAATACTATTTAAAAAAAATCTTTATTAACAACTTTCAGACAAGCAATTGACAAATTTTTAATTCATTGCTGTTCACATTATTATAAAACATTCAGAGCATGGATGAATATCATTGATCGTCTTAAAGTTAACTTCTTCCATTTAAAAAGACATATTTTCAGAAAAGGTACTTGAGCCATTGTTCCACCTTCTTCTCAAAATTCCCATGCAGCAATGGATTGTGGGTAATACCCTCCATCCAAGTCTGCAGCGGATTTTTGCAAAGTGCAGATCAAGGGTGCAAAAGGGGCGTGGTCAGTGTCCGCATTTGAGGATCGTGACACCCTACACATTTGCACCCCTGGACTGGAACGTGCAATTGAGGGGCTTCAAGTGTGAAAGTGCAAGTATTGGGATTGGTCCTAAATCTGCACTTCGAAGGGTATTACCCATAATCCATTGCTGCATAGGATTTTTGAGAGAAAGTTGGGGAAAAGGCTCAAATGCTCTTTCCGATAATTGATTTTTCAAGTTTTTAATGGGATACTATGCAACTTTTTAAATCATTTTCATGAACCAGTATGTGTTAAAAATAGCCTTTGCATGCTCAATGAAATGTCACTCAGACCACTACTGCCCTCTGTGGCCAGAATACCGCACTTGCAACTTCAGGGTGCCAGGTTGCTATCTGTGGACTTTAAAAAAATTGAGCTGACATACTTGCCAATGCAGTCTGCTTTCAGCACGTTTTCTGCATGTTTTAGATCATGAAAACAGCAGTTTTAATGCACAAGAGGGTTAAGGTTAGGATGGGGGTGAGGGGAAGGTTAAATAGCAAGAGGGTAAACATGTATATAAACACTAGATGGTGAAAGCGGGAGACAAGGGCGTAGCTAAACGGCGGCCATCTTACCTCAGACAACAGACCCCTCCGCTCTCAATGGTAGCAGCTGAAAGGTGAGTGATCAGCTTAAACAAAAACACCCTTAACTCAATGAAATATTAACAGATTTACAAGCGGTTTGCCTTGTTACAACCCTTAGAAGACATGGGCTTGAGACAACATACTTGCACATGTTGTAAGTAACGCTTTTGCTTTTGTAAGAGACTTAATTGTGAACCATGTGTCCCGCCTAGGCTATCCACATGTTATTCAGGTTGAGACCACAATCAATATTTTATGTGGTTCTACAAAACCAATAACGGCTTTACAACAGCCCAACCTGTATATATATATATATGATATAATAATAGGCTATGTATACTTTAAGTTACTGTAGCTTACAATTAAATGTGTTATCTATGAAAGATTAAATGCTTTGTGGAGTGAAATAACAGGAATTTCTGGGCAAAACCCATCCTATTTCATAGACATCTCTGGCGTTTATAACAAATCAAACCTTTTAAAAATTGGTAGAAAATTGAGCAAGTTAGAGTTATTTAAATAGTACATGCACCATACACCCCATGTCAAGAAAGGGGCAGCTGTCTGAGGTAAGATGGCCGCCACGTTCCGACGTCGCATTCAATTGGCGAACAGCGTCGATGAGGCATCTATTGTTTATAGACATATCTATGGGGTAAAGGTCAGAATTTGGTGAAATGTGCGTTTTGCTGTTGGGACTCCCAACGTGTCGGAAACAAGCGCTTGCTCAGCCAGCGTCAAATTTTGACGCTTTTGGAGTGAGAATTAGTTGGAGTAAGGTGTTAAAAAGACTAACGCACAGCGAGGAGATAAGTTTCACTTTCGTTTTGTCCACAGATAATTATTAAGAGACACTAGGGGGTGCTAAAAGTAAACAAAACTGCCCAGTATCCCTTTAAGTATTCTTTAGCCATTTTTACAAAACAATGCCATCGATTTGCCACAACGCTGTGGCAGCATCTGGGAGCCTTAGGTCATTTATTACGAGTCAGACTGTGGCGGTAATGATACGCAACCATGTCCTTTTCACAAAAGACTACGCAATGGCAGCATTAAAGGGGTATGATTTACTGGTGTTCCGACTATCCGTGCTACTCGTCGATATGTGATACTTTGGGGAAATGCGCATGCGCAGAACGATTACTGCGTCACAGGATGTTTACTGAAAGAGACGCGCTACCTCTGGAAGTTGTTATATTACTGCTTGTTGTATGTTAACTTGTAAATGGCTTGTAAAATATCATTATTATACTGTAAACAAAAAATTTCTCCCATTGTTTACCGTTATTCACGGAATCATGACAAACACGGTCTTTTTCATAAATAAATCATGACAAACACTCTATTTGTAAATGGTAAATGGTAAATGGCCTGTATTTGATGTAGCGCCTTCTAGAGTCCTGAAACCCCCCAAGGCGTTTTACAACACAACCAGTCATTCACCCATTCACACACACATTCACACACTGGTGGGGATGAGCTACAATGTAGCCACAGCTGCCCTGGGGCGCACTGACAGAGGCGAGGCTGCCGAGCACTGGTGCCACCAGTCCCTCCGACCACCACCAGCAGGCAATATGGGTTAAGTGTCTTGCCCAAGGACACAACGACAGCGACAGACTGAGCGGGGCTCGAACCTGCAACCTTCCGATTACGGGGGCGAGCACTTAACTCCTGTGCCACCGTCGCCCGTCGCCCCAATTATTTGTGCTAATAATTATGCTACAGTTCTGTATTTTTTAGTAATATCACCTATTTAACATAAACCATGCTTAATAAGCGTGTTACTTTACTGTAAACAAGTGTGAAACTGTCGTAACACGCTGCGGTAGGAATTTTTGACGAGGAAGCACGGCTAGTCAGAACACCGGCGGGGTGTGTCTTGTAAAAAGGAGCACAACAGTGTTCCTTTCCTCAAGGGTCATTTCATTTATGTTCTTGCAATTTTAATTATCGTCACACTTCCTCCTTTCTTTCCTTTCCTCTCCTCAGTGGCACTATTGTGCTGTTTTTCTACATTTTCCAAAACAGAAACACGTATTTTTGCATTGAGTGTAGAATAAGAGTTTCTGACTGAAACAGCATAAAACGGCTGTGTTGTCTTTTTGTAAAACAGCAAAAACTACAGCTGGTGGTCTGCAACACAAATCCCTTCCTGTTTTTAACAGTGAAGACAAAAGATTATATGTGCAGAAAAAAATGTGGCTGCCTGTTGTCTCACAGAGCCACATGAACTCCAAGTGAAGTACAATAATCTCTTTTAGACATTTGCAGACAATTCTGACTCTAAATGAAAAACCAAAAAAAATATATTGCCTCAGAGTTTTAGGAGGAACATAAAGGGTTTGCCCTTATTCGCATCGCTCTTAGTAAATTCACTGAACAGCAAATGATTTTGTGCTTCTCGAGCAGTTGCCCAGAATAACCCAGAAAACGGGAGAGAGAGAGAGAGGAAACTGATAATCACGTGTGCGAGCAGAGATTTAAACCCTTTTGGATTACCTCTGCCCATCTCAATCTGTTATGTAGGTCTGTCTGGCTGGTGCTATCCTCCAGCCCAGCCTGGCCTGTAATATCTATTTTAATGCAACTATGTGCTCCCATTGGACAGAAAGCCACAGGAGCGGATTAAAGTGTTGTTTATATGCCACCCCTCCATCCTTCGACTGGAGTGGACCATAGACTGTACATAGGAGTGGACACACCACCTGCGACATTAGAACACCAAGAAGAAAATATCTAGATTTGCAATAATTTATACATTTTTAACAGGAAAATTGTACATTTAAGTGAAAATAAGTGAAATACTAATGCTATTTTGTTCCTGTATCTAACTCAGTGGAGATTACTCTTGTCTGTGCAGTAATGCAGACTGAGTGGCTCAAAAAGGTAGTTCTGCTATTGTTAAATATATTTGCTATTTTATTCATGTGTTCATTATAGTCATCATTGTTCATGTTTACCGTAGTCTGGGGTTTTGTAGCATAGTGCAAATAAATTACAAATGCACACAAACCTAAAAACCATCAGCTTGGATCTTCCTTTGCATTTTCACATGAGTTGGCACACCAGGTCTATTTTTGGAACATCTCTGTTAAGTTCCTTCAGTGTTTGCAACCACAGCTGGAAGAACTGATGCTGTTTAAACGGCTAAAACCTAAAATCATTCCAAATAAAGGACGTGTATTTGTCATGGTCGGTGGTATATGCCTAACCCACGACATACAGAATCAATCCACAAGTCAGAATTAGAGTTAAATAATGATTTATTATAAAGGAGAAATGGCAGGAACAAAATGTCAGGCTGGACTGCTGGGATCCGGTGGGGGGAGTCTGAAGGACGAAAAAATGTCAGGACTGGTTGCAGAAAAATGGGAATAATGGATCAGTTAAGACTTACGGTCTGAAGGTTCAGTTAGAATGTTCGGGAGAGGTTGGTTGTCTGGTCTGGGGGTGAAGCAGATGGCTTACTGAGTTAGAGGAAGCTGAGAGTCCAGGCGAGGAGGGAGCTGAGCAATTACTGAGCAGGAGATCCAGGAGGAAGGTGGGGAGCCGGCGTGGGGGAGACCATGGGAGGACGCTGAGAGGCGAATGGCAGGTTGACCAGGTAGTTATTGTAACAGGATGTCTGGGTGAAAAGGTAGGAAGACAAGTGGTCAAAAATCATGAAGAGCTCAAAATCCAGATAAAAGTCAAATCATTAGGAGATACAAGTTGTTCGGCTGTTAGTTGAGTACCCAAGTAGAGTTAATCATCCAGCAAAGTGAAGCCGCCTCTCAGGTGCTTAAATATCCCCTGGCAGGTGATGAGTGGATTGCTTGCAGCTGCTAGCAACTTCCCCACAACCGGACACGCCCACCTGCAGAGGAAAAGAAGAGAAAGAAGACACCCCCAGACCGTGACAGTATTAATGTTTTTATTCAGATTGCACAATATAAACAATTGGAGTTCATATTTGTTAAAACATAAAAAACATATTTGTGCAGCATTGGTCTGAATATATCCATGTGGAGACATTGGTTTGCATGTCTTTAATATGTTTTTGTGTAGTTTTAAAACTTTTATGCTAGTTTTTAATGTGTTTTTGTGTAGTTTTTAAGTTGTTTTGAAATGTGGACTTTGAGTCTAATAATAAAAGCTGCTGATGATGATGAATATTGCCAAACTAATTTGAATAATCATAATCGTACAGTTTTTCCTTTAAAGGAGGTTTAGTAAACTCAAGTCCTAGAGAGTCGCTATCCAGCAGTTCAAAGTTATGAGCAGATTCTATGACAAAGGGCAGCCTTGGTGGAGTCCAACTCCGGACAGGGACCTAACAACCCGTATCAGAGGGCCTGGTCCCAGAGTACCCCCCACAAGACTCTTCAGGGAAACTCGACCAATCAAAAGGAGTCAGTTTTTGTTGCTATGTGCCAGTTTTACTGTGAGACCAAACCCACCCCAACTGAGTTTGCAGCTTGTGTTTTGAACAGGTGTTTGCTGCTGGTCTAGTGAATGTAGCAAAGCATCTCAGACATTAATTTGTGTTTCTCCCTCATGGGGTGATCAGATCAATCTAATTTTATTACTGAGGTTCAAAACCAGGCGATGGGGGAAAATAAGACTACGAGTTGCAAAAAATATAAAATTAATAAACGAACAAGACTAAATTAAACTTTTTTCATCGTTTATCTGCATGACTATTTGTCAAAATCAGCATGTTAGACGCTGCCAAGACAGTATTATTGTATTAACTTAACTTAGGTGTGTATTTAAAAGCTCAATAGCGTTACAAACAATTTATTATTGTTTAATGTCCTATTCATGAAGTCTTAGTGTCAGACTGATCGGCTGGAAATGGGAGTTGAGCTTGTAGAGAGCGTGGGCTCACAGACGTGGAAGTGATAGCATCGGTGAAACGCCGGCTCACGATTTAATCTAGGAATCCCCGAGCGTTCGAGCGTCAATGAAGTGACACAGAAATGCTGGGTTTTCCAGAAGTAAGTAAGAACACTTATTGTGAGCTGAGAGTTCGTAAGATGGATCGGCTGCTTGGAAACTCTTATCATAGATCCGAAGAAACGATGACTGAGTGATGAGCTGGCGAGGCAACTTCCGTATATAGTCGCGGTTCGTGACGTAGGTGCGAGGGAATCCCCGCGAGGGGCATGCTCGGAGTTGTGGTCCATGGTGGAGATCGGCTAGCTGGGAGAGGCTGGTTTGTGGACTTGGGTTCTGACAGGACACCCCCATCCAGGGACGGCTCCTGAAGTCCCAGGGCAGCCCCGGCGGTCCCAGAAGTCAGAGATAAGGGTAGGGTCCAGGATGGAGCGGGCCGGTTCCCAGGAGCGTTCCTCGGGGCCGTAGTCTGCCCAGTCCACGAGGTACTGCCATCCCGACCCCTGCGACGGGCGTCCAGGAGTGTCGGACGGTGTAGATGGGCTCACCATCGAGGAAGCGGGCAGGCGGAGGCACCGGAGGAGGAGGCGGAAGCAGGGAGGATTCCACAATGGGCTTGAGTCAGGAGATGTGGAAGGTGGGATGAACGTGGAGAGTCGCCGGCAACTGCAGCCAGTACGAGACTGGGTTCATGACCTTCTGTATTGTGTAAGGCCCGAGGAACTGGGGAGCGAGCTTCTTGGATCCAGCACGGAAGCGGAGGTCCGCGGTGGACACCTAGACCTTATCCCCAGGGATATAGGAGGGACCAGGACGGTGTCGGTGGAGATGTTGGCGAGCGTAACGGGCATTAGCTCAGGTGATGGAAGCTCTTGCTTTGAGCCAGGCGTTCTTGCAGCGCCTCACTAGGGATTGCGCGGCAGGTACAGCAACTTCGGGCTCCTGGTGGGCAAAGACCGGGGGCTGGTAGCCATAGCAGACCTCGAAAGGGGACATATGAGTGGTTGAAGAGGTGTGAAGATTGTGGGACAGCTCTGCCCAGAGGAGGTATTTAGGCCATTGTGAGGGTTGGGCCGAGACAAAGCACCGGAGGTACCGACCCAGCTGTTGGTTAGCCCACTCCGTCTGACCATTGGTCTGTGGGTGACCGATACTCCCATTAGGTGGCAAAAGGCTTTCCAGAATCGGGCCGTAAACTGGGGGCCCCGGTTGGAGACAACATCGACAGGGAAGCCGTGGAGGCGCACCACGTTCTCCAGGAATAGTTCCGCCGTGCGTCGGGCCGAAGGGAGACCCGGAAGGGCGATGAAGTGGACAGCTTTCGAAAAACGGTCAGTGACCGTGAGGACCGTGTTGAGGTTGTTGACCGGGGGGAGTCCTGTGACGAAATCCAGACCCACGTGGGACCACGGACGGCTGGACACCGGAAGAGGTCTGAGGACACCAACAGGGGCCTGGCTGGGTGTCTTGGAGTGGGCACAGATGTCACAGGCGCTAGTGTATTCCTTAACATCCCTCGCCATGTAAGGCCACCAGAGTGCTCGTTGGAGGAACTTCAGAGTTCGAGAGAACCCTGCGTGGACAGACAGGCGTGATGAGTGGGCCCAGGAGAGTGCCTCGCTGCAACAGGATTTAGGGACATAGAGACAACACGCGGGGGTCTCTGGAGGTGCGGGGTCATCCCGGAGGGCGTTCTGGATAGCCTCCTCCAACTGTCACCTTAGGTGGGCCAGGAAACGGTGCTCTGGGAGAATTGGTGCAGGCTCGGACGTGGGCGTGGAGTGTGTGAACTGGCGGAAGAGGGCATCAGCCTTCTGGTTCTTAGTTCCAGGGCGGTAGGCGAGATGGAACTCATAGGGCTTGAAGAAGAGGGCCCAGCGGGCCTGGCGAGGATTGAGCTGCTTGGCGGATCGGATGTGAGTCAGGTTCTGGTGGTCTGTCCAGATGGTGAAAGGCTGGGTGGTGCCTAGAAGCCACTGTCTCCACTCCTCCAGCACCCATTTTATGGCCAGCAGTTCACGATCACCCAAGCCATACTTCTGCTGGGTGGCGGAAAACTTCCTAGAGAAGTAGCCACAGGGATGGAGTCTGTCGTCGGGCCCATCTTGGGACAGGATGGCACCGGCATCCGAGGCATCGACTTCGACCACAAAGGGCTCCGTAATCTCTAGATGGCGGAGCATAGGGGCAAACGTGAACTGGGTGACCAGGTGGCCGAAGGCCCGAATGGCGTCTGGAGTTAGACGGAACGGTTGGCCGGGTGGGCTTGGTCTGGTGAGGGAGGTGAGCGGTGCCACAATGGTGCTGAATTTCTTAATAAAACGGCGGTAAAAGTTGCAGAAGCCCAGAAAACTCTGTAGCTGTTTTAGGCTCGTAGGAAGGGGCCAGTCAGTGACTGTCTGGACCTTCTGAGGGTCCATGGTTATGCCCTGATCCAAAATCGTGAAGCCCAGGAATTAGATGGTCCGCTGGTGGAAAGAGCATTTCTCGGGCTTGCAGTATAGGTTATTGTTCAGGAGCCGGGTCAGGATGGCACAAACGTGGTGGAGGTGTTCAGCCTCGGACTTGGAGTAAATTAGGATGTCATCCAGGTAGGCAAACACCCACCGGCCCAGCATGTCGCGGAGGACATCGTTAATGAGGCGTTGAAATACAGCGGGGCTATTGAACAACGCAAAGGGCATGACCTGGTACTCCCAATGACTGGTGGGTGTGATGAATGCGGTCTTCCACTCATCCCCAGCTTTGATGCGGACCAGATTGTAGGCGCTCCGGAGGTCCAGTTTTGTGAAGATCCGTGCCTGGGAGATGGAGTCCAGAGCAGTCGTGAGGAGTGGCAGGGGATGGCGGTGCCTGATAGTGATCTTGTTTAGACCCCGGTAATCTATACAGGGACGAAGGTCACCTTCCTTTTTCTTCACAAAGAAGAAGCCTGCAGCACCCGGGGAAGAGGAGGGTCGGATGAAACCCTGCTGGAGGGCCTGGTTGATATATTCCTCCATAGCTCTGGATTCGGAGGGAGAGAGAGAGCAAAGGCACCCACGGGGAGGAATGGTACCTGGTTGCAGCTTGATCTCCATGTCATATGGGCGGTGAGGCGGCAGTGTGGTGGCGCGTCGCTTATCGAAGCCTGCGGCCAGGTCCAGATAGGGTAGTGGCAGTTTGGGCGGTAGAGGACCAAGACCACCAGCCAGGCAGTCTGCCATGGGTGGAGGAGGAGATAGGCGGACCTGGCACTGGGTCCCCCGCCTAAAAGGCAGTTCTGGGACCAGGAAATCTGGGGGTCGTGGAGATGGAGCCAGGGGAACCCCAGGATTAGAGGAGAGGAGTGAGCGGAGATGATGAGAAAGTGGAGGGTTTCCCGGTGGCCTTGGAGGACCATCTGGAGTGACTGGGTTCGGTCTTGGACAGGATAGGGCTGGAGAGGTCTGCCGTCCACCGAGGTCACTGGAACAACTCGTTCCAGGGGAGTCAGGGGGATCCGTAGGCGTTTAGCCAGATCCACGTCCATGAAGTTGTCGGCGGCCCCCGAGTCCACCAGATCATGTACCTGACATGAGGTCTCGTCATGAAAGAGGGTGACAGGAAGGAGGAGTCGGTGGGAAGAGATGGGGCAGAGGGTGACCTGGGCTGAGCTACCCGAAACTCAATGGGTTCCTCCGTTTCCCGGCCGTAATGGGCAGTCCAGGCACCGGTGGTCGGGAGAGCCACAATAGGCACAGAGACCCTCGTGCCACCGTCGCTGTCTCTCCTCCGGGGGAAGGTGGCCTAGCTGCATAGGCTCCTCAGTAGAAGTGGGTCCGGAAGCTGGCATTGGTGAACGAGGAAGAGGTCCGGGAGCTCTGAGTGGGCATGTGGAGGACCTGGGTCGAACCAGAACCCGCTGGTCGATGCGCAGCGCCAGGTCGGCAACCTCATCCAGGGTCTGGGGCAGTTATTTTCCCGCCATCTCATCTCGGATGTAGGGCACCAACCCCTCCAAGAAGACAGCTCGAAGGGCAGAGTCATCCCACTGTAGTTTGGCCACGATGGTGCGAAACTCTGATGCATAGGCGCACACCGAGCGTTCCAGTTGGCGGAGCTTTAAGAGACGTTCTTCAGCCCCCACTTCGCTACTGGGTGGAACGAAGGTCTTCCTGAGGGCGGCCACAAAAGCAGCATAGTCATTGCAGGCAGGGGATTTAGAATTATAAAGAGCAGCGGCCCACTCCTGAGCGCGTCCAGAAAGCAGGGAGGTGAGGTGCGCAACCCGAGAGCAGGCAGTGGGGAAGCGTCCTGGTTGGCACTCGAATTACATGTCGAGGGAGGTGAGCAGACCATCTGGGCTCCCAACCTCTCCATTCCACCTCTCCGGTAGGCTGAACTGTGGCTCCTCCTTAGGTGGAGCGAGGGCTTGCTGCTGGAGAGCACTGAGGGATGTGGTCAATTGAAGGGTGAGGTCGGTCAGGGAGTTCACCTTGGTGTTGAGCCGATCGACCAAGGCGTGGAGCTGAACAATCTCATTCTTCATTTGCTCAAACTCCGCTGGGTTAACGGACTCAGTCATCCTGTCAGACTGGTCGGCTGGATACGGGAGTTGAGCTTGTAGACAGCGTGGTCTCACAGACGTAGAAGTGATAGCGTTGGTGAAACGCCGGCTCACGGTTTAATCTAGGAATCCCCGAGCATTCGAGCATCAATGAAGTGACACGGAAATGCTGGGTTTTCCAGAAGTAAGTAAGAACACTTACTGTGAGCTGAGAGTTCGTAAGATGGATTGGTTGCTTGGAAACTCTGATCATGGATCTGAAGAAACGATGACTGAGTGATGAGCTGGGGAGGCGACTTCCGTATATAGTCGTGGTTCGTGACGTAGGTGCGACGTGGAGGGAATCCCCGCGAGGGGCATGCTGGGAGTTGTGGTCCATGGTGGAGATCGGCTAGCTGGGAGAGGCTGGTTTGGGGACTTGAGTTCTGACACTTAGCCTCTTTCAAGATGCTTAAAAAAACTTTGATAGCATTATATTCTTCTGATAACTCAAATCTTCTCATGGCTGTTTTTATAAAATCAGCTGTAAATGAAAACAATTCACTGAAAAGCTGCTTTGTTGAAAGGTACTAGCATAAATTACTAATGCGTTAATTTGCTGATAAAGCATCTTATAGACACTTAATCCATGTGCAGATCTGCTCAAAGGGAAAACAACCACATTGGTTATTAATGAAGCAAAACAAGAGGAAGACAGGTTTTAAAAATCATTTTAAAAACTGCTTTTGCCTCCATCTAGTGGTGGAAAGTCCAAAGATTTGCCTGAGGACAACCACCAAATCCTGTGTTTAATCATTTATTTCACTCAGGACTGTGAAGTATGAGGCTACAGAAACATCTTACTCTTAATCTTAATCTGACATAGCTGAAAGGATGTGATTTAGGAGCTGAAGAGTGAGAAAAAAGCATCTAAATGAGGACAGATTTACCCCTTTGTGGGTGGCACACCAAGGGGTTGTTTCTCCCACCTGTGAGTCACATACTGTGATCTGATTGGAGGAGACACCAGTGCACTTGGTGCTGGTTCTTCCATGCAAATAGCTCATGGAAAGCTTGCATGAAAGCTTGTATGATGCATTGAATGGTACCCAAGAAATTAATTTGATTAAATGTGTCTTTTAACCTCTAACACACATTCACGTCAATAATTATTTTTTCCAATTATGTTCACAAATGCAAGCACAGCAGAGTCAGTCTGCTGATCCATTTATGTTCAGGCACTTGGGCCCTATTGGCACATATTGATTGGACATTATTGTGGAGGTTGTTGCTGAGGCTTCATCAGAATTAGCAGAGATGGTGTTTGAGAGCCTCTGAGCAAACATAATTACAGCAATCAAAAGAGATGCTTGGGATTTTCAGTAGAACATGAAAAAATGAATCATCATGAAGTCATTTGTCTAAAATGAGAAAACGTTGAATGAGATTTAAGGCTTTGCGGAGGAAAAAATAAGGATGTAACTTTATTTGTGAACATCATCTTTGGCAGCAACAGGCATGACGTGTGATGCTGTTAAAAAAAGATTCTCAGTAATCTTCACAGCATTTCTCCTGAGTTCTGCACCCCTGCTGAGCAGCTCCACTCCCCCTTTCGCTTGTTGTTTCCGAGGTGGAGCCTGACACCCCGACTTTACCATCCCTACTGCCAGCACCAGACGGAGAAAGGACCGGGACCAGCGGTCGGTTGGCGCAGATTTGGGACGCAGATCGGGGAGGAAGGAAGTAAGAAGGGAAGGAAGGACAGGGGGAGATTAGTGAGAGCGCTTCGGTTCATCACCTTTAGAAATTAAGTCTTAACGGAACAAACGGACGAGGAAAAATGAACAATTTCATCCTGATGTCGATTTTTGCCACGGTTATCACCGGAAAGTCACCCCGACTGAAATTTGTAGTGCACGGTAAGTCTTCATGTTTGCTTCTTTTTTAGTATTTTGTTACTTTGTCTGTGGCAGGTTTTAACGAATGGGTGAATGTTCGAAGGGGTGAGGTGAGTGGGTGAATGACCGGAGTAATCATCATGTTTGCTCCGCTCATTCAGACAACTGTTGTTCACCTTTCATAAGAAAACAACTAAACAAAGCATCAAAGCAGCAGAAATGAAGCGATCACCTCCAGAAAACGCACCATCTTTCCACTAACACAGTTGTAAATTACGCGCCTCCATCAAGGCCCCACAAACGGGTCCAAAGGCTCAAACTGCATCGAGCATGGAGAAAAACAAATCCTGATTCATTATTCCAACATCAACAAAAGACACAATGATTAGGATTTCGTGGAATTATTTGCTCAATCTATCCATTTTCTTTCATTTCCCTGGTTTCTCAGTGGGATAAAATCGGGTCTATTTACTGCAACTTGTAGCTTTTTTGTGTTTCTCCTCATCTTGTGTGGTTTATTAAAATAAATCCGCGTAAAGTTTCATTTGTGTTAAAGTCTCTAATTGGCTCACCCAGACGCACCAAACTGGAATAAAATCAGATGCGCTTAAAAAAACACATTTTTTTCCGGCAGGGGGGACATCATGGCGCCTTTTTGCCCCTGAATGGCTGTGTCTTTTTTTTACGTGTCCGGTCTTCTCTGAAAAGCGTCATTATTGTGAAATATGAGTCGATGGAGGTTGACACGTTCATTATAGCTGCCGTGTCCTTGCGGAGCTGCAATGCGGGACGCGGCAGCTGCTTCCCACTGCAGCAGCAGAGGTCTCCAGCTCAGAGGGCTGATTTTACAGTTGGAATGAAAACAGTTTTAGACCAAACAGTCGCAAAGAGGAGTGAAAAAAACGAGAAGGAGTGGATCGAATGGAAATTTCCAAGTCGATTTCTTGTTATCCATTCCCCTCACGCGCATTTACGCCGCACACAGACCTCTTAATATATTCAGCAATCAATCGAGACGGGGGCTGTGTGTCAAGTTATCTGTAGCTGTGTCCCTCCCCTTCTTGTGGAAGAGCACCACACACAAAACGCTCCGAGGATGACGTCCCTGGACGTGCGTGACATTTTAATCAAACTTGCGATGCCGTTCCAGATACGGGAACACACAAAGGAGTTCAGGTAGAGGCTGGTTGTCAAAGGGAATCCGTGGAAGGTGTATTTGAGCTGTTTCAGCACCCTGGACAGCTCCTGTGCATTTTTAAATGGTGAAATTGGGATCATCTCACTCATTTCAGACACCTTGTTTGGGTTCTGCATTGGAGCAGTGAGGAATTAGAGCTGCTTTAGAGAGCTAAAGGAGACGTGTTGCATTGCATTCATTTGTCACATCTATTTCCCAGCCTATTACAGTAAGTGCATTCAACCTGAAGATAAGCAATACTGTATGTCCTCAAAATCTAAGTGAAACAAAAAGAGTAATGAGAGTGCAGAATCCATAAATCATGCACTGAGTAGTGATAGCAGAGTCTTTATTATGAAGCATAAATGAGTCGAGCTACTTTGTTTTCTTCTCTGATGAAGATACAAGCATGGATGCCAGCAAATGAAGTGGTCAACTTCTCTAACAAATATCAAAATAACGTCCTAGCAACACGTCCAACATGTCCCATTCAGTGATCACTGAGTAGGACATGTAAAACACTGACAAACACGTTTATGTTATGAAATGTATGAAATTCACATGTGGAGGTGGGGTTTCATGAATTTCAAGCATCTTATTTCTTGGTAGATAGAATGGTTTATAAAATAGCTTGGAAAAAGACATATTAGTGCCAATGGTGATATTCTATTATAAATAGTGCCTTTTGTTGCTCTGGAAGGGCTAAAACACCTCCTTTAGACAGAGATCACACGATTTCCCACTCTCATGCTTCATTTTTGAGTTAATCCAAAAGAAACTTTTAGTGAATCCACTTCTTTATCTTTTGATTCAGCTCTCTCTTCATCACAACAATAAAAGCAACCTCCTTTTCATTGAACATGAGAAGACCAAGACCTCAGACTTTTAGGTGTTGATTTTCCTCCTTGCTGCTCCATATTCAGCTGCTGTTCTGGTCCAGTTCTTGTAGGAGGCCCCGGCTCAAGGAGGCCAGTGTAACAAAAGCACTGATGCAATCTGAAGCCCCTAAACAGGACATCTTCCACTTTGTTACTGTAACATCCAAAAGGGTCAATTTTCACCTATATATTGACAAACATAGTGACCTTTCCTCTACAGCATAAATCCACTTTCTATTTGGCCTTCTCAATCCAGAAGGTTCTGCTCGGCGCGTGCTGACATTCCATGAAGACAAAACATTCAAATAAACATTCTCTCCCAAGGTTCCTGCACTCTCTGTGTGAAAGCCAGACGTTAACATTCTTCACTCTGAATAAGGGAAGACTCCATGAGTTTTACAACTCATAAGCTTGCAATAATCCAATGTGATTAATAAACAAGATGTTTAAATCAAATGTTTGAATAGCATGTGCTTAAACCAATGATGGCCTTAAAATGAATACTGTTCTTACAATGATCCATTTATATCACAGATCAGTATGTGTTTGATTTAAAAAGTTAATCATTGTTTACACTCGTACGCATTACAATAAGGTACTGTACATATTAAGATTAAGAATCTTGTATCTGAAGGAAGGTGTGGCTTTCTGAAGGATGTTGGTAAATACTTAGAAACGTGTCAAATTCTGATGGGCAAAACTTGGCCAGAAATAATAACAAAGTAGTTTCATAAAACAGGATTTACTTCCCGATAAATTCAGTTTCTCGCTGACCCTCAAACCAGCCAATTCGGGAAAGAAGCATTTTTGAAACCATCTTCTCCTTTGACCTCCTGTCACAGCCTCTCTGCAACGCTGCGGCTGATACCAGACAACCAGCTCTTCTAAGAGCCAAGCAAACATCGACCTTAGATGCAAATAAGCATTCCAGCTTCCTGCCTTCACCTCAAGGGATCTCAGACTGGACAGGTCTTATCGGAACTATCTACGGGTTCCTGATATCAGAGGTTCACTCCACCGGCAGTGACCCGCACGACTCCCCGAATCAAAAGAGAACCTCCACACCAAGGGTGCATAGACTTGGCACAACAGATTACGTCTGATGCTGTTTTTAATAAACAACTCTCTAGTTTATAACAAACAACAAGTTCTTTTACACCCAGAAGTCACATTTTTCTCAGATACAAAGAACAGTTGCTACAACATCTAGCTTCCATCACAACACCTCACGTCCACCAAACCACATCTCATTATTCATATCTTGTCATGTATAAATTATTAGTTTAGGAAAAATGATTAAATTCATTTTATAAACTATATACTTGACTCGGTCTGAATCAATACGAAGTGTGTTTATGGTCTCTAAAGAAGTAAAGAACCCTAGAATCTTCTGATTAAATATTCAAGATCGATCAGATTGATATTTCATATTTGTATGGACTCATCACATCTTATATATACTTAATTAATATTTATTAATTGCTACATTACTGTGCCCAGAAATTCTTCAGATAAATACCAATGGACAGCTGTTCTTTCAACTCTGCCTGAATGCTAATTTGTAGTTTGAAAAAATTGTTTTTCTTAGCATTACAGCTTTTTCTGTATTGCTCTGTTTGATAGGAAAATGTTAACAGAATAGATTTTTGGTTTAATTTGAACCCCAACCGAAATGGAGATTGAAAGAAATGGAAGGGAGAAAGCAGAAAGGGAGAGAGGTGGTGGTGTGTGGGGGTGGACGTTAACAAAACTAAATAAAATAAAACAAGAGGTAAGAGTCCCTTTCAAAATCTGAAGAATGTGTGAGAGAGAAATAAGGGACACACACAAAAACATAACAGAACCAAGATAGTGCCAAACAGCATAAGGTGACACTGGAAAAATTCCAACAAGGTGCAAAAGTTCATTTATTTCAATAATTCAACTTAAAGGTGAAACCAATACATGAGATAGACATTACATGCAGAGCCTTTATTTGTTATAATTGTGATGATTATGGCTTACAGTTTATGAAAACCACAAATTCAGAATCTCAGACAATTAGATTATTGTGAAAGGTTCACTATTCTACACTCAATGTGTCACACTCTAATCAGTTAAGGAATCCAAACCACCTGCAAAGAGTTCCTGAGCATTTAGATGGCCTCTCAGTCTAAGTCGAGTTACTGAAATAAATGGACTTTTGCACCAAATTCTAAATATTCGAGTTTCATCTGTATTACAATAACAATGTGACTAAAAAGCACATAATAATAATTTAAAAAATCATGGTGTATTTAGTGCCAACCACAGCCCAAGATAATGTGAGCCCATCCTTCACAGATAAACACATAAATAGTCACACATTCCCTCCCTCATCCATAAAACATTCAACCTAAAGACATGCAAGGGTGAATGCCATGGACCCACTCACACTCCCCATACATACATTGTCCTCTCTGGCCAAGTTACTGATGCACAGAGAACACAACCAGTCCTGAACCCAGGAGATGGTCCCATTCTTACTGGGAGTAAAGATCAGACGACCACCCCGCCCATTGCAGGGCAAAGCAAGCTACCACCCCAAACTCTGAGCTGACAGTCAGCTCCCAGTCCCATCATCCAGCCTCAGGACGAGACAGGGCTCTTTAATACAATATTTAAATGTGTATTTTTATGAATTACAACTCAGCCTAACCATGAATCTAGTTTATTTCGTGGTTAGGTTTATTTAATTGGAGGAGTGACTTTGGAGGAGCAAAAAGCTACATAATGTTCTGCAGCTCTATTTTGTTTGGGTGCTTCATGGTGCTGGTGGGTCATGTTCAGCTGGCGGTTTGAAGCTTTGAAAAACGCCTCTTTGCTGCTGCATGAAACAGGGTAATTTGTGACAGAGCCAGGAAAGTAAAACTGGAGGCTGTGCTGCAGAAAACAGCTCACAGGAATGTGCTTAAAAGCCTCAATTAGGCAAGGGGAATCACAGAGCC